ATAGCGACCCTGTACAGGATTTCTGAGGGTGTAAGTCTTTACGGGAGTAGAAAGCCTCATCTTTCTCCCACGGAGCGGCTGGTAGTTTCGAACCGCTGACCTTAAGGTTTGCAGCCCGATTCGTAACCACTATGCTACCAGAGGGTCAGCAAAAAAGAAGAAGACCCCACTGAGATGGATTGACATAGTGGCAGCAGCAGTGGGCTGAAGTTTAACAACAATTGTGACAATGGCAGTCACAGAGGACCGGGTAGTGTTTTGTTCTTTTGTGCATAAAGTCGCTATGAGTGAAAACCAACAGGATAGCAACAAGTAACAACAGCATATTACAAGGACAAGGAGGATGCAAATCTTCAGGGGCAGACACTGCATACACATTTAATGAATGGACAGCAGCTCCTCGGTGTGCTTTCCACTGTCCCTCAGTGTCTCACATTGGTTGCCTGCAGAATAGAAAGTATTAGACAGCCTGTTCTAATGGGAATTATTGATTACCATCAGTGCCAGCAAACATTTCTTCTCTTTAGTTTCTAACTAAAGAAGTAACTGATAAAAAAGATACACAAATCATCAGTAAACACATGAAAAGATGTTCAACATCATTAGTCACTGTTGTTTTTAGGTGTTGGTGAGTCGGTTGTTGTTAAGCGTAGTTGAGCCAATTCCAGTTTATATAAAGGGTTTCCAAGGAGCATCTGGCGAGTTTGAACCGCTGACAGTGCAGTCACTTGGGGAAATAAAAATGCGAACCATAATGAAATACCATCTCACCCCACTGTTGTTGCATGCTGTTGAGTCAATTCCGACTCATAGCAACCCTGTATAGGGTTCCCAAGGAGTGGCTGGTGGGTTTGAATTGCCGACCTTGCAGTTAGCAGTCCAGTGTGTATTCTGCAGCACCACACCAGGACTCCACTACAGCCCACTAGGATGGCTGTAATAAAAAGACAGACAATAACAAGTGTTGGTCAGGAGGTGAAGACACTTGGACCCTGTCACTTTGCTGGTGAGAATGTTAAGTGGTTAAGCCACTTTGGAAGACAATGTAGCAATTCCTCAGAAGGTTTTCACAGACAATTCCACTCTTAGATACAGAAACATCATTATTCATAATAGCCCCAAATTAGAAACAACTCAAATGTCCACCAACCAATGAATGGATACATAAAATATGACATATGCAGACAGTGGAATGTTATTCTGCAATAAGAAGAAATGAAATGCTGATATATGATAGAACATGTATGAATCTTGAAAACATTATGTTAAGTGAGAGAAACCAGTCACAAAAAAGCACATACTTTGGATAATTCATATAAACAGAATCATATGAAACATCCAGAATAAGCAAATCCTAGAAATCGAAAGTAAATTAGTGGTAGCCTAGGACTGGGGAGGAATCCTGGTGGCACAGTGGTTTAAGCATTGGACTGTTAATTAAAAAGTGTTTCAAACCTTTCAACTGCCATGAGGGAAAAAGATGAGGAGACTGTTTGCTTCCGTAAAGATTTACAGTCTCAGAAAACGTATGCAATAGTTCTACTCAGGTCTATAGGTCTCTGTGAGTCAGAATCCACTGGACCAGAAGGGAAAAAGTGGGGTGTGACTGCAAATGGCTTTGGGGGTTCTTTTAAGGAACAATGAAATTCTTCTGGAATTAGAATGTAGTGATGGTTGCACAACTCTTTAAATAGACTAAAAATCACTGAATTGTACACTTTCAATAAGTGAATTGTATCGTATATGAATTGTATCTCAATAAATTGGAGTGAGGTGTTGTGATCTTGGGGCAGAATCGAAGGAAAATGCACAGTCCTGGTGTAGGGTTTAAGGCATAGGGCAGGGCCACAAAGCTGGGTGGCTGCTTAGGCTCACCCGGAGAGCTCGTTCCCTCCCAGTAGGTTTCTGGAAGGCCTGAGTGGCGGGCAGTATAAGGTGGTGGTTGCACTCAGATTCTAGGTTAGAAATTGACTCCACCATTAAACACGCTTTGTTATTATCTTTTAAGCTTCTAAGTCTTCAGTTACTGGTAAAATGGGGGTCAGGATAGGATTGTTGTAAGAATTAAATTAATATTATGTAAAGCACTTAGGAGTCCTGGTGTGGCGCTATGGGTTAATGCACCACACTGCAAAGCCGTTTGAACTGCAAAGTCGGTGGTTCAGGCTCACCAGGCTGCTCCTGGGAAACCCTATACAAGGTCGCTATGGGTCGGAGTCGACTCGACAGCACATAACAACAAAGCATTTAGGGTCCCTGGGTTGTGCAAAAGGTTTGTGCTGGGCTACTTGGTTAGAACGCTCCCAGCGGTACTACAAAGAAGAGGTCTGGCAGTCGTCTGTGACGATTACAGCAATACAACGCTACGGGGCAGTTCTAGCCTGTAACACGTGTCAGAATTGACTGCACAGCCACGGGGAAAGTACTAAGTGCTATGCCTGGCACACTATAATAAGTGTGAATTGTTATCATCTTCTTCATAATCGTCAGTGCATCAGAAAAGAGATGTAAGGGGAGGAGGGAACCTATCTCTTCTAGTCGCAGGGGTTTCACAGAAAGGCCATTTTATGTAGATTTCGCGCGTGTAAAAGAGCTGGGAGGAGAGGAAAGGCGTGATCTGTGTCTCAATCCCCCCCAGCGCAAGGTTTTCAAATTCCAATACAGGCGGGCAGGCATTGCAGGGAAGCGCACAGGCCTCGAGGCTTATCCCTCGGACTGTGAGATTTGGGGTCTGGGGAGCAAGCCGGGTGGGAGGAGGGAAAGGAAAGGGTGCGGGGTTCCCTGGGCGGAGCTCAGGGAGGTCCTTCGGGAGTGAAAGGCCAGTCCGGAGACTGGGAAGCAGGAAAGAGAGCGTGCACTGCACCCTTTGGAGACCGGCCTGGGTGCAAAGGGCGCGGTACCTGGAGTCGAACTTCTGGCCATCGGGGAAGGTGCCCACGTAGTGGTAGCGCACGAAGTCGCCGCTGCGCACAGTGCGCGGGCACTCGTCTGGCACGAAGCGCCGCTCAATCTGCAGCTCCGTGTCCGGGCCCAGGCCCAGGCCCGCCACGGGAGCCGCCTGCCCAGTCACCCAGAGCAGCAGTAGGAGCAGCGGCGGCAGAGGGGGCCGCCAGCCTCTGGCCCTGAAACCCATTGGGAGCGGTGAGGAGAGGAACGGGGAGCGGCCGGGAGGCGCGGCGAGGAACTGTCGAGGGCGCACGGGAATTCCGGCAGCGAGGGTCCGGGCCTGGATGCGCAGCTGCGTTTGCAAACGTGGAAAAAGAATCCCGGCCCTTCCCGAGCAGCAGTAACTACCCGGTCTCCTCCTGCCCCCCACCCCTCAGCCACATCCGAGCCAGGGGAGGAGCCGGGACCGCGCGCCGGGGGCGGGCCTGCTGCGCCCCGCGTCTCCCAGACCCGGTCAGGCCCTCCTAGTTTTCTCGCCCGGGAGGCCTGGGAACTTAGGAAGGAACCCAAATCTGGACTTATCCCCTAGAGAGAAATCGTGCACTCCTTCGGACAGGCCCCAAGTTGAGAGAGGAATGCATTTTGCCTTTGTCGCTTGTGCCTCGAGACTGTAGATGTGGGGCCAAGAGAGGCTCCTACGTGGCCGAGGATTCAGTTAACCTTTTGCTGCTTTGTGGGGTGGAAAGGGTTGTGGCAAGGGAACTTAGATTTTTTTTTTTTAAATTCGTTTCAAGGAATCTGCATTAAAAGAATCTGAAATCATCCAGAATTTTTTTTAAAGAGAAAGGAGGAGGCAGTGCTTTGTAAGAGGATCCTTGACAGTTGTCCAGTCCAAAGTTTCAATTGTTTACTGTGACTTTTCCCAAGCCCTCAATGGATGCAGTGTGAGCGGCTACTTAATAGCAAACATTCCATGCGGTCCCACACAGGAGACTTCGTCTGACTAGTACGGACTTTAGTAAAAACCAAGTGCTGCAAGAAAATTTGTCATAGTAGTTAAATGCTTCCTGCTCTTAGAATTAGTTGTTCATATTTATTAAAATGTTGAAAAAATTAAAGCAAATCACCAAAGGTTTCTTAACTGGTATTAGAAGCAAATGTAGTTCGGATGTCAAAACCTGACAAAGATGTAACAAAACAGAGTGGTGCTAGGGAGCTGGGTACTAATCACCAGTTTAATTTACAAATTGGAGTCGTGGTGTGGCGCTGTGGGATAATGCACTGAGCCACAAGGTCGGTTTGAACCGCAAGATGGGCAGTTCAAATTCATCAGCAGTTCCTCAGAAACCCTATACAGGGGTCGCTCTGAGTCGGAACCGACTGGATGGCACTTAACAACAACTTGCAAATGCAAAACTACTAACAGAAACATGGACAAATTGAATTAAACATTGAAATAGTACTACATCATTACATGAACTAATTAAAATTTCAGTATCCTCTGTAAGATGAAGCCAAAACATTGGTAATTATTTAATTATTAACTCACACGGGGTCTAATTTAAAACAACATGTGATAATAAGACAGGCGTTCTAGTGGCATAGTGAGTTAATCACAGGTGAGCGGTTCAAACCTACCAGCCGCCCTAAAGAAAGCTGAAGCTGTCTTCAGCTGTAAAAATTCAGTCTCAGAAACCCTTTGGAGCAAGAGTTCTGCTCTGTCCTACAGGGTCACTAGAAGTCAAAAGCTACTGGACGGAAGTTGTTAGGATTCTCCAGTTGGCCTAACTCAGTGACCCTCTGCATACCAGAAGGAAACCCTGCTCCATCTCATAACTATTTTGCCCATTATTGCAGCCAGAGTGCCAATCTTTTTCTCTGACCCTTTACATTGTTGTTGTTAAGTGCTATCGAGTCAATTCCAACTCATAGCGACCCTGCATAGGGTTTCCAAGAAGCAGTTGGTGAGCTTGAAGCATTGACCTTGCATGATGTCTTTCTCCAGAGACTGGTCTATCCTGGTAACATGTCTGAAGTATGACAGATGACACAGTCATGTCATTCTTGCTTGTAAGGAACATCTCAGCTTCTAAGGAGCATTCTTCCCCCCCCCCTTTTTTTAAAGATTTTTTGTGAATTGAGTGATAGTTTACATGGGAGAACACCAGCTTTACATTCATCCTATGTATTTCGTTTCATTGCAATGATTATAATCCCCCCCCCATGCATCATCAGACAACCAAAGGGCACCCCACCCCCGCAAGCCTGCCCCCCCCATCGTCAGCACACAGCCCCTCTCCCTCCCTGAGTCCAGAGTCCCACCTGCTCCTCTCCACGTCATCGTCTCTGCCTCCATCTCTGGCTTCACTGCTTATCTGGGTAGGGTCCTGCACTCCACTCTTCTCCCTTGATCTAAGAAGCATTTCTGTTCCAACACCGATTTGTTTGTTCTTCTGACAGTCCATGGTACTTTGAACATTCTTCAAATGCATAGATTCTTCATGCATATTGAAAAGAATACGGCTTGAGTCGAGTGCATCTTAGTCCTCAAAATGATACTGTAGTCCTTTAACTCTTTAAGAATTCTTTTGTAGCAGATTTGCCCTATGCCATACTTCATTTGGAGTCCTGGTGTGGTGCTGTGGGTTACTGTGCCAGACTGCAAAGCCATTTGAACTGCAAAGTCAATGGTTCAAGCTCATCAGCTGCTCCTTGGAAACCCTATATATGGTCCCTATGGGTTGGAACCAACTCGATGGCACTTAACAACAACAAATACATCATTTGTTTTCTCAGCTGTTGCTTCCATGAGCACTAATTGTGGATCCAAGTAAAAAGAAACCCTTTACTCTCCATTTATCATGATGTTGTTTCCTGGTCCAGTTGTGAGGATTTTCATTTTCTTTACATTGAGTTATAATCCATACTGAAGGCTGTGTTTGAGCTTCATCAGCAAGTGCGTCAAGTTCTCTTTCTACAAACAAGGTTGTGTCATCTGCATATGGCAGGTTGTTAATGAGCTTCCTATCCTGAGGTCATGTGCTTTGTATACTTAAGATTCTCAGATTCTTTGCCCAGCATATAGATTGAATTAAGTATGGTGAAAGGATACAACCCTGATGCACACCTTTCCTGATTTTAAACCACTCAGTATATCCTTGTTCTGTTTGAACAACTTCCTCTGGGTCTATACAGTGAGGGTAATAATAAATGTTAATTCTTTTAGAAATAGGAACTCCATTAATATAATGCATCCTATTAACAGGACTCCCCCTAGGCACCCCACTCCCACACACAAAAAGAAAATAACCCCAGTGCCATGGAGTCGAAACTCTAAATCTTTCTCATTTTTCTCCGTCTGGGTGGCTGTGAGTTTGAACCGCCAACCTTGTAGTCTGTGGCCCAATATCTAACCCACAGTGCCACTAGAGCTCTTTATTAACAGGACAGAAGAGGACAAAAAGAATTCTAAAATCCTATGACCATAGATTGAAAATGCATTAGCTAAAATCCAACATCTATCTCTGATTTTAAAAATACACCATAAATCTAGTAATCGTAGGTTATTTGTTATTATGCAGCAAATAGCTGTGTGTCACAAATGGGTCCTTCAGTCTCCCCATCTGAGTGAGGAGCAGCACCCATCCGAGTACACAAACTTTCATCCTAAAAGTCTTCTCCACCTTCATTCTCCATATGAAATCCACCACCAAATCTTCTCATTTTTACAACCTAAACTGCTAACTGTTCTAACTATTCTTTTTATAGTTAGCGCTCTTATTTCTTGCCAGAATTACAGGCAGAACCCTGATGCAGAATGCAGAACCCAAGCTACAAAGGAGTCAGACAAGTGTTAGTTGTAGCTTTTTAACCTAACTAGAAAAGGACCAGAATGGGTGTTAAATGAGCCAATCTTTAGGCATTAAAAAAAACTGACATCTGCCTCTATTGTCTCAGAATATCCTATTGCCTGTCTAGTTCATTGGAAATGATTGCCTCTTAGTCTGTATACAGGTTCTTCATAAGCACAATTAAGTGTTCTGGAATACGCAATGTTATCTATAGTTTGTGATGATCTGCACAGTTGAGTGTCTTTGCAGTCAATAAAGCATAAAATAAACATCTTTCTGCTTTCAGCCTAGATCCATCTGACATCAGCAGTGATATACAGTCTTTCCCATCCTTTTTCTGTATCCAACTTGAATTTTTGGTAGTTCCTTGTCTATGTACTGCTACAACCATTTCTTTTACTATCTTCAGCAAAGCTTTTATTTACATTAAAGTATTATATAAGCCTAAAGCCTAGTTCTCTCAAGAACTGTTCCACTTCCTATTACTGAATCACCAACCACCCTAAACCTACTGGCATGAAACAATGTGTATTTTATTATTTCTCACTGCTTCTGTGGATACAGGAAGGATACAGGAAGGGCTCGGCTTGGCAGTTCTGACTAGCATCCCCTCTGTGGCAGCAGTCAGACAGATAAGCCGAGCAGAGGTATTAGATACCCGGGATCTGGTCTGGCATCTCTATTTACTCTCTAGTCCCTCCATGTTGATTTTTTTCCAGTGGTTCAGTTTCTACTTCCTTACAGCACTGTGGACTCAGGGCAATTACATTGCTACTGAGGGCTTCAATATTCCAATAGAATACTCCTAGATACCTTTTTTGACCTAGCCTCAGAAAGTAATCAGCATCACTTCAGCTGCTTTCAACTGGTTCCAAGTACAGCACTAAGATTAACCCAGATTAAAGGGAAGAGACATATAGACTTGCCATGGGAGGAATGGCAAAACCACATTGTAGAAAAAATTAGTGGAGTGGGAGATATTGCTGCCATCCTGGAAAACAATCTGCTATAAGAACTAAAGGCACAAGAGACTAACTGATAAAGCACCATGCCAAATGATTAATTTATTGTCAAGTCACACCTTTCCAAAGACCTTGATACTCAGATCTAACTAGAACACTTTTCCCCCTCTTATCAGGAAACCAGAGAGGCCAGATAGACCATCAAATGTTGTTGTGTGAACACAAAATCAGAACACGGAGGCTTGGCTGATCTTGAAGGATATTTCCTTTCAGTCTGGTCAGTTTTACCTTTTTCCCCCAATAGGGCACATTTCTCTAGTGACGAGAACAGTCCTGTGTTTGAGTGTCTACTGGACACTAGACAAGCTGTGCTTCATTGTTTCTCCTTGGTTCTCCTCTAGATTCTGCAGACCATCTTCCTTTTGTAACACAGTTAAGCTGCTTATTCTTTCTTATCTCTCAATCACATCTTCCTGAAAGTGCCCAGCTCTCTCTCAAGTGCTCCTGAGCTGCCCCACTTAACAGAAAAGAGATTCTAGGGATGTGTCAGTT